AGGTGGCAGAGCCTGTAAGAGGTGGGTATGTCCTGGAGCGAACATCTCAGGGACCTGTCGTTCCCCAGAGCCAGGATGTCATAAGAACAAGCCTTGAATCCCTCTTGCTTCCTGTCTGTCAGGGGTCTCTCCTCTCACCCAAACTCTTACCATGATACCATCCTCCATGTTGTGGCTCAGCCAAGGGGTCCTCACCAAAGCTGAGCAGACACTGCATTTTGAACTTCCAAAACTGTAAGACAAATAAACCTCTTTTTCTTCCTTTTTTTTTTTCTCCCTCAGTAGTAAGGATTGGATCTGGAGGTGTTCTGTTGCTGAGCTACATCCCCAGTCCTTTGTATTTCTTAGGGCAGAGTCTCACTAAGTTGTGAGACTGGCCTTGAATCTGCAATCCTCCTGCCTGAGCCTCCCAAATTGATGGGATTATAGGTGTGTGCCACTGCACCTGGATGAACCTCTTTTCTTCATATATTTTCCAGCATCTGGTATTTTCTTACAGCCACAGAAAATGAACTAAAACAAATGGGTCCCCTCACAAGGAAGTAGAGAACTGAAGAAATAGCCAAAGCAGGAGCGTTTCTACTTTCTAGACAAAGAATGATAAATTCGTGAAGAATCGCAGGACAAAGGTGTCTAGGCTAGGGATGGTGATTCTAGGGGAGTCACGGTTTGTGAGCTAATGGAAGAGAAATCAGTTCAGGTGCACTGAGGTGCCAACTTCCAGCCCCAGTGCTGCAGACTCCTTGTCCCAGTGTGGGACGGCCTCCTTCTGAAGGAGCCTCTGTGGCCTGCTGTGTGTAAGAATCGCAGGGTCAGGAAGCCTTTATGCAGCTACAGTCTCCCCATTGTTCTCAGCTTGAAATAATCAATAAACCAACCCAGCACAATTGGGGTGCATGAGCTCCATACTTCCAGCTTGTATAGTAAGAAGAACAGAATAGTCTTAGGAGTAAAACTCAGGAAACTATGGGTTGCTCAGAAAGGGGATGTCCACCCAGAAACACTGGGAAAGGAGAGGCAGGAGGCAGAGGTGGGCTCTTCACAGCCAGGAAGGCCCAGGGCGAGGCTCAGGCTGCCAGGTGGGTTCCAAGTGGGACAGAGGCCTCCCGGTGCCAAGAGCAGTGCCAGGTCAGCCCCAAAGCCACACAGCACGTAAGGGAGAGAATGGGATTTAAAGCCAGGACTGTGGCCCTTCCTACTGTCGTGCCTGCAAATGTGATGAGGACAAGGACTTTAGAGTCCAGCAGAAATCTAAAAGCAGAGGCAGAGAGGTAATGTGCAGTAACAGAAAATAAGGAAATAATCAAGTCTGCTTTCTCAGGGCAGCTGAGGTAAGAGGAGAACGTGCTCAGCTGTGGAGGCCAGAGGAGGACAGGAAGGGAAGGCGTGGGGGAAGGGGCGGCGCGTGTCCCAGGCCTTGACGGTGGGCAGGACCTGCGGGGTGAGTGTCACAGCAGGTGCCAGGAAGGAGCTGCCTCTTCTGGAGAAGTTCTCTGGGCTCTGTGCCCAGCCCTGTCACCCTGTCACCTGGCCTCTGCAGCTCTCACCCCGGTGCGTCCTGTGCTCCTGCATGAGGTCAGAACCCCAGTCCACAGCGCAGCCTGGGCTCCGGCCTCTCCTGCCGCCATCACCCCCATGCCAGCTGGATCCCACCACCACCCTGCCCGCGACTCATGGCTCCTTCTAGAGACAAGGACTTCGCAGTCGCAGAAACCCAGTCCTCAGCCTCCGAGCATCAGTCTCTTCATGTGTTGGGAATGGAAATCCGCCGCCCAACCCAGCACACCTCCCTAATCCAAGTCACCAAGGGTCCAGGCTGACTGGGCCAACCTGGGCCGGCAGATCCCTCCCTCCTAGAGAGTCCAAGACAGTTGATGGCAGGTCCCTAACTCCCGGGGCCTGGAAGGTCATGGGTGCCAAGGAGGGAGGGAGAAGGAGGGAGGGCGGCGGCAGCCCCCACCCCTCAGCTGCCAGTCCCCTCCAAGGGCTCCTGTCTTGGGGGGACTTGGAGGGGCCTGGTGGCCCTTCCCAGTTCCTTCCCCTGTGTTTATGACCCTTCCCCAGAAGGCTCCCCCAGCCCCTGTGGTTTGAGTCTATTTTATTATGGCCAGAGCACAGCGTTTCTTAATCTCTTCTATTATCTAAGTTTTCAAAAGAAGGAAGGGATCGGCCAAGCTATGTCACATTGTGTGCAGGAATACGAAGCAGCAAACCCCATCCTAGATGTGATCTTAATGCCTCCAAAATATGGGGATAAAAGGAGGAAGGGAGATAATATGAAGAACCTGCAGGTGGCCACTCTTGGGCACCCTCGATGTCAACCTTCACCAACACCCACAGGTGGCTCTCTTGAAGTGCCGGGACCATGTCACCTCACCTGCACACATGTTAGTGCAGAATGTTTAGAGCACACACACAACCGCACTCTAACACCCGCTCCATCCATCAGTCCTGACGCCTCAGTGCGAGCAAACTCCAACAGCACTCACAGCCCTGCAAATGACACAGTCGGTTTGAACTGGGATCCCCTGAAGGTCCTTCGGGACCACTGGTGACAGGCAGGTCACTCTGAATCCACACACTCGCCCTCCATCTCCTTCCTTTTTGGAAACTGATGTGGAGGAACCCAGGTCTGCGATGGCTAGAGATCGCACGGCCCCGCTGCACACCAGTATCACCTGGGATCCGGCTGCTTCTGTGGGTCACAGAGGACAGGAGTCGTCACAGAGGATGGGAGTCTTCCATCTCACTGGAGTGAGTGGCCATGCGTGCTCCCAACAAGGGACACGTGCCTCTCCGTCTCCCAGCTTCCCTCTCTCGGGGTATCATCAGCCACTGACATCATCTACCAGGGCTGCAGAGAGATGTCTGCTCGCTCTATTATCCGGAAACTTCCACAGTGAGAAACTTCCCCTTTCAGTTACTGAGTCACCCCAAGGGACGTCTCACGGGGGAAAGGTGCGATAGACACTTCCTTATTTCCCTTTTTGGTTTTCAAAGTAATGACGTAGTCCCCTAGCACCCTGCAAAGTAACCAGTAAGGTAGCATTTGTTAAAATAGCAGTATGAGTCGGGTGCAGGAGCACATGCCTGTAATCCCAGTGGCTGAGGAGGCTGAGGCAGGAGGATTCTGAGTTCAAGGCCAGCCTCAGCAATTTAGCAAGAGCCTAAGCAACCTGGCAAGACCTTGACTCAAAATAAAAAATCAAAAGGGCTGGGGACGTGGCTCAGTGGTAAAGTGCCCCTGGGTTCAGTCCCTGGTACAAAAAAAAAAAAAAAACAACCACAGTGTAGGTTTTGGGGTTCCTCTTATGCCCACCTGATCCAGTTGATTGGACTTTCCACCATGTAGGTGATAGACTTTGACTAGAATTTTTGATGATTCTCCCCCAAAATATATCAACAAGGAAGAAAATCTAACCACACAAATCTGATTTAAAATCCCTTCCTCCCCCAAAAAAAATCCACCCCCTTTTTTAGACAAGGGTTTCAACCAAGACAATTCAATAAGGAAGAAAAAAAAAACGTTTTTAAACAAATAGTGCTGGGGGAAAAATGGATACTTATATGCAAAAGAGTGAAGGTTGATCCCAACCTCACACTATGCGTGAAGTTTTAAAAAAGGTCAAAGACAAATGTAAGAGGTAAAACTTAAACTCTTAAAAAGAAAACGTAGGCATAAATCTTTGTGACCTTAGGTTAGGTAATTATTTCTGAGATATAACAACAAAAGCACAAACAGCAAAGAAAAAAAATGAGGTAAATGTGGCCACATTGAAATCAAAAGCTCATGTGCTTCAAAGGACACCGTTAAGAAAGAAAGGGAAAACATGCTCAAAACGTTTTTGCAGGGGCTGAGGCTGGGGCTCAGGGGTAGAGCGCTCGCCTAGCATGCACAGGGCACTGGGTTCGATCCTCAGCACCACATAAAAATGAAATAAAGATACTGTGTCCACCTACAACTAAAAAATAAATATTAAAAAAAACTAGTACAATCATCCTTTGAATGCCTAGAATAAACTTTGCAAACAAAAAACACAGTTTTACAAACAAAATATAAGAGTCTAGTTTCAGAATATATACAGAACTCTTCAGTGCAACAGACTCACAACCCAAACTTAAAAATTGGCAAAAGGTCTAAGAGATATTACTCCAAAGAAGAAATGCATGTGCCAATAAGCACTCGGAAGACGTCCATCATGAGTCCTCAGAGAAATACAAACCAATTCACAAGGAGAGAAGGCTCGATGCATGCCCACCGGTGCTGCACCAGAGGGCAGATACCAACAGAACTGGCTAGAGGTGGGGAGGCCTGGCCTCAGGCTTGTGGTGGGACAGGAACTGGCACAGCTGCTTCTGAGAACAGTCTGGCAGTTCCCCAAAAGAGAATCAGAGTGGTCATATTACCCAGCCATTGTACACCAAGGGAGAGACTGGGGCACACAAAACCAGTATGGCATGTTCTTATGGGCATTATTCACAATGGTCAAAAGTAGCAATGGCCCAGATTTTCACCACTTGAGGAACCAATAAGATGTGCTGTGTCCTTATAATGGAATCTCATTACCATTAAAGGGAAATGAAGCACTGGTACAGGCTGCCACAGAGACGAACCTTGACACCGTTATGTTAGTTGAAGGAAGCCATGTGGGGACTGCTGGCTCTTCTATGGCTCCATTCCCATGAGATTCAGAGAATAAGCGAGTCTCCGGGGCAGAAAGGGAGTTAAGGAGCCCCTAGGGCAGCCAGACTGCAGGGCTGGAGTAACGCTGTGGGCACAGGGTTCTTTTGAGTGGTACAAATGATTTTAGTGATGACGGCACAATTCTAAATATTCCAGAAACCACCGAGACATACACTTCAAAGTGGTGAGTCCCATGTATATGAATTATATCTTATGCATAAGTCAAAGGAAATCTCACTAAAGTAACCCGGTGCCTCCAGGACTTGAGGCAACATTTCACTCATCCTTTGGTTCATTCAGCACACACGCATTAGGCTTCTGCTATTGAATCTTTCAGTTTATTCAACACTGTGTCCTGACTACCTGTGATGTGCCAGGCACTTTCTATACCTCGAAGGTCCAGCAAAACAAATCCCAAAATGTAAGCTTTGTGTTGCATACAGTCTCAGAAGGGAGACAGGTAATAAAAAAAAAATAATCAAAAGTATTCTACACAGTGTAGTTTATACACTGAGGATAATCAACACTATGGAGAAAAATAAAACAGGGAAGAGGGATGGTCAGTGGGGGAATAGAGAAGAAGGTAGCAGCTATGAGTAGGGTGGTTGGGAAGGCCTCACAAGAAGGTGCCATTGGAGCAAAGACCTAAAGAAGGTGAGGCATCAGCCATGTAGGGAAATCGCATGTTCAAAGAAGAGGTGACATGTGTGGTGTGTTCAAGGAGTATGTAGGGAGCAGAGTTAGCAGGAAGGAAAGGAGAGGAGGAGGAGAAGAGGGCACAGCCTAAGAGAGATAAGCAATCTCTGTTTTAGTGAAGCACAGCAGAGTGGAGCACGCACATCTTGGGGTAGCAGACATGATTCTGCATATGGCACATGCAGCTTGCCTGGTCTCAGATAAGGGTTGTAATCAGTGGTGTCCCAACCTGCAAGAGCCACATTCACAGGAACCTGATAGCCGGCTGTAAACACAGCTGGTATTGGCTAGTATTGAAAAAGGAATTATATAGATTTATAATTTAATGGCCGTGGCAGCTGGCACCAGCCAGGGACATGGCAACTGAGGCTTGGTTTCTGTTTCATTTTTGTTTTGTTGGTGGTGTCTAGACTTCACAAAGACCAGGAGAAAATGTTAATAGTAGAGCTTTAACTTAAAAGTGTGTCAGACTTGGAATCAATCATTGCGAATAGAGGGGGAAAAAACTGAGGAAATATTTTTCCAGTGGTCAAAAGTATCACCCAATTCAGAAGAAAAAAAAAAGCCACTCACATCATTGATGGCATCAATGACGTAGTGAAATTCTTTTTTTAAAAAATGTTTCTTAGTTCTACATGGACACAATTTCTTTATTTCGTTTATTTATTTTATGTGGTGCTGAGGATGGAACCCAGTGCCTCACGCGTGCCAGGCAAGCGCTCTGCCACTGAGCCCCAGCCCAGCCCCAGGTAGTGAGCTTCTGACAAACTCCTCCAAGTTGAAGTTGCCTCACTTTAATCTTCCTGGAGAAGTCGACATTCAGGACCTGGAGACTCCCGCTTGTCACTTCAGCCTCAGGCTGGCTGGCAACACCAGGTTCAGCAAAAAGCCCCTGAAAACATTCTGCAAGAACCAAGCAGATACATAGACCTTAGAACAAATAATAGCATTTATCTTACTATTACTTGTAAGCATGTGCTACTGTTCCTTTACAGCCATATATTTTTTCTAGAAATTCTCTGTGTGTGTGCATGCATGTGCATGTGTGTGTGTGCACGTGTGTGTGTGTGTGTGTGTGTGTACATGTGTGTGTAGAGGAAGAAAATATACCTATTCGTGTTTGGTAGAGCTGGTAGCTAAGTGGTCACCAACACCCCTCTAACTGTGATCCATTTCAAATCCAACTCTCCAGATCCGAGGCCCAGACGGCAGAAGGCAAGCAGTTCAGGGCTGGAGTTATTCAGTACCATCCTGCTCTAGGGTCTGAAGCCAGCTGCAACCAGGGACTTCCTTTTATTTGTATTGAAGGCACTTCTATCTGCAGTAGGTGAGTCTAGGTATCATGTGTGGTGGAAACAGCTTCCTTTTCAAGCAGAATTTTGTAAAATACAAAAGGGCAATTTCAAGAAAAATATCAGGTAAATAATAAGTCAGGAAGTAACAGAAGGGACACAAATTCTAATGGTGGCCGGGAAGACGAAAATGCCAACTCAGGTAAGAACTCAGGCTCTGGAACCTGCACCTGGGCTCAAACCCAGATCCTGCCAGTGACTTGTGCAGCCCTAGTGGCCTGCTCCGGGGGTGGCCACAAGAGCCAAGGAGATTCAGGGAAACCCAAAGCTTGGCTTAAATGGGGACTAAGGAAAGAGAGGCTCTGGGCCAGGCATCTCCTGACCCAAACCACCATGCCCTCTGCTCCTGGCAGCCAACAAGTGTTTACCGTACCCAGTAACACGCAGTCTGCTCCGTGACCACTCAGAGCCCAGCTCCTCTCAAGGCAGCGGCTCTCCAAGGTCCCAGTATAGCTCTGCTCCTGTATGCTGCAGGAGCTGGCTCTCCCAGGCGCTGGCACCCCTCAGGGGTTCCTCTTGCTACAGCCCCAAGGAGCCCTAGGTGGCAAGGCCCTGGTCCTGCTGGGCACTCAGCATGCACAGAAGCCTCTGTCGTGGTCTGTAAGGAGCCTTCACAGCCACAGAGACAGCTGCAAGCAGTCCAGTTATAGTATATGCCCTGCCCAGGTCTGCACGGGGCGGGGAGGGGATGCCCTGCCAAGGTCCCCGCAGCGAGAGCCTGGCCGTCGAGCCGCCCTTGACCTCACCCTGGGGCAGGTGTGCGGAAGGGCCTGGAATGTGGTCAGAAATGAAGGGCCCTCTAGCCTGGCCGAGTGGAGCCCACCGTCCAGTGCTGCGCCCTTGCCTGTGACCCAGCCACAATCCCTGCTTCCCCAGCCGCCACCACACCGGCTTCTCTCACCTCTCCTCTTATCCCGGCCACTGTGGCCTGGTCCTCCAAGGGACCTTTAATTTTAAACCTTCACCAATGGCTGGGTCTGTAAGTCCCCCAGGAAGAGCCGCATAGTCCTCCAACACGGGGGTCAGCAGAAAGACAGACCCACTACAGGGTGCTTCCCTCAAAGAGCCAGGTGAGCACCAGCAGGAGAGGCACCTGCTCGCAGGCCTGGAGGGCACCCTCCTGTGGGTGACATGCCCCCCAGGCCGCCGGACTAATCTGTTTTTTTTTTTTTAAAGAAGAAAAAAGAAAGAAATAGGAGCTTGGAAAGCTTTAAGACAACTGTGGAGAGGGCCCTCCTGTCATAACCCCCAACAGGTCTTCAGATGATGGGGACGTTCAACTCTAATTTCCAAAAAGGCTTAGAAAAATAGGCAGGAGGAAAAGAGAAGGCCCTTCAAATCGTAAAAGAATCAAGAGCAGAACCCTGAGAGTCCAGGGGGCTGGGGTGTCACATTTTACACATTCTATCAGGACACAAGCAACTGGAGCTGACCCTCAGGTCACCTGCTGCTTCTCTGCTGTGTCCCTACCTCAACAGAACAGTGCTTCTCTCCTACTTCCAGAGGAGCGGCATCTTTATATGAATAGTCTCCATGTTGCTTTCTTCACCCTTTCATGGTAAATGAAATTTCTCTGAGCAAAGATCAAAGGCACGATGTGAGATTAAGGTTTATTTTCTTGGTGAGTCATAGCCTGGATCACCAAACACAGAGTTCACCAAATGTTTTGAGCTGGGATGACAGTACAGAGACAAAATTATAGAGCTCTGGTGTGATGTTTAATTAAAACTTATCATCTGATCAAGGGCACTGTCACTGTTAGTGACAAAGTAAATTACCCATCACCCAGAAGTTCTGCAATTTATCCTAAGGCACTCTTACTGAGTGTGGGCTAAGACCTAGCTACAAGGGTTTTCACCAGACTGTTTTTTAAAAGAGAAAAAAAAAAAAATAGAAATAGGGCTGGGGTTGTGGCTCAGTGGTAAAGAGCTTGCCTACCATGTGTGAAGCACTGGATTCTATCCTCAGCACCACAGAAAAAAACTAATTAATTAATTAAAGATACTGTGTCCATCTACAACTAAAAATATTTTTTAAAAAAATTTAGAAATAGGGTCTGGGACTGTGGCTCAGTGGTAGCACACTTGCCTGGCATGTGTGAGGTACTGGGTTCCATTCTCAGCACCGCGTATAAATAAATAAAATAAAATAAATCTATCAACAACTAAAAAATTTAAAAAAAAATCCAGACTTTAACCATTTTTCTTTTTTTAAAATATTTATTTATTTTTCAGTTTTCAGCGCACACAACATCTTTGTTTGTATGTGGTGCTGAGGATCGAACCCGGGCCGTGGCACACTCATGCCAGGCGAGCACACTACCACTTGAGCCACATCCCCAGCCCCTAAAAAAAATTATTAAAAATTTAGAAATAGGGGGCTGGGTTGTGGCTCAAGTGGTAGAGCGCTCACCTAGCACACATGAGACATCTATTTCGATCCTCAGCACCACATAAAAATATTGTGTCCACCTAAAACTAAAAAAAAATTTTTTTAAAAAAGCACTTAGAAATAGCCTAAATTCACAAAAGAGGGAGATTAGCTACATAAAGATAATATCATCGTATACTGGAATACTGTGTCCCATGTTGCCATAAAGGTAAACACAAAATGACATATTTGGTATTCCCCTAGTTAATATTGGATAGGTGGGATTATAAGTATTTTAAATATTCTGGACTTTTATATATTTCTACTTTTATAGTGTAGAAAAATAATAAGGACAACCCACTAGGAGGTCCTGATTGTGAAGCCCCGTCCCGGTTCTCCGGCTTCAGCTTAGCCCAGCACAGGCCAGTTCACTTCACCAGGGCGCGCCCAGGGACTGCAGGGGCACAGGGGATGTGGGGTGGTCTCTGCCCTTGCGCTCCGCCGGCGGACACTAGAGCTCCTCGGGCCACTCTAGGCTCCCAGGGCCGCTACCTGTGAAAACGCAGGTGCAGAGGAAGGCTTGCAAACACCTCTCATCAGGGCTGTCGCCGCAGAAACTCACGCAGCAGCTACGTGTCCCCCAGGGAATCGGCGTGCAGCGTGAGCAGCGCAGAGACGGCCGTGAGCGCTCCTTTCTGCGGCGCTTGCGGGGAAAAGCCCAGGACGCTGCAGCCGTGCTTGCAGAAGCAACGCCCTCGCAGGTCGCTTCCTAGCAGCTCGCTTCCTACGGGAGAGTGCCCGAGACCCCGCGCTAAGGGAAGGCGACCCACGGTCTCACGCTCACGCCTTCTGGCCTGGTTTTCCAATGTGCTGGGTTTTCTCTCTTGCAATTCCGTGCTGCCCCCTAGTGTTGACCTATATTGTCACACTCTGTTGTGCAGGGTGGAGTGGAGGGAGGTCCCAGTCCACAAAGGAAAAGGAAAGGGATTGGACATGTGGTGGAACTGTCAAAAGTAGTAGAGACTTTCATTACAAAATAGTCCATAGCTCTTATTGTTTTCCTGAAACAAACAAATAAAAAAAGATAGTTGATTTTTGGTCAGGACAGTTGCTAACACTTCCTTACCATGTGCCAGGCAGGATGCTAAGTGCATTACATGGGCTAAATCCCTTAATCCTCCCAGCCGTCCTAAGCAGGGAACTGTCAGTTGACCTAAGCACCTGCAGTGCCTGACCATTCAAGGAGGGGCAGAAGTTAAAAAAAAAAAAAGGTCACATCAGAACAAAGTAAATTCAAGGGGCACCATGCTCTACAGAGAAGATCACTGAAAGCAAGAACACCTGCTGAGGTCGTTCCGAGAGGCCTGTTAGTTGTCAGGATTGCCTGGTGGTCTGTCTTTGGTGTGCCCTCACAAGTAAACCACTGCCTGTTTTAAAAACAGCTTTATTGATGCATAATTCATACCATGGAGTCCTCTGGGGCTGGCTGCCTCCGTATGGCTCGATGCTCTCAAGTTTCCACATGATGCAGCATGTGTGAGAGCTTACTTTTTATTGCCAAATGACATCCCACTGAATGACATGTCCCATTCCGGGTAGCCGTCAGTCGGTGGAGGACAGCTGAGTCGTGGTACATTCTCACCATCATGATGGACGCTGGTGGACGCTCACGCACAGGTTTTGTGTGGACCTGCATCTTCATTTTTCTCCAGTGGGACTGCAGTGGTATTGCTGGGTCCCCTGGTGACTTGGTCTTTAATTCAGAGGGACTGCCGCTGTGATCCAAAGCCACCGCAGTGCTCTTTCCTGGCTCCTCGCCTGTCTTTTTTCCTGCAGCCATCTTAACATGAAGGAGCCTTTCCCAGTGTTTCTGTTCAGTGCCTCCTTGGCAGTTACTGACGCTGAGAACCTCATGGTGTAAGATCACTTCTTTCTGATGCTGGTGACACAGAGCCATGCAGGCCACATTAGCATCAACTACTCTAAACTACTCTTCTTTTATTAGCATTCTGAATGCCTCAGATGAAATCAGAGGGAGGCAAATCAGAAGAGATGGCATTGGAGGTTTTGAGGGACAGCAGGACATTAGTTCTTTCACTCAAGCGTCTGTTAGAGCCAAGAGACTGCTGGTGCTGGGACAGGCAGAGCCACACAGGGGCAGTCTCCATCCTCAGGAGGCTAAGCTTCTGTCCATAGAATGACTTTAAGCAACTGTTGACATAGTTGAATAGTAGAATCATGTGAAGGAACAGCATCCCAGGCTCTGAGACAAACAGTCCTGGCTTTGCCAGGGGCTCAGGAAGTCTTCTCAGGAGAAGGGAAGTCCAAGGGGAGAGGGACAGGCTGTGTCCGTGGTCAGGGGTGGGGTGCCATAGGCGCTGGTGTGTGTGGATCAGGTGACATAGGAAGCTGGGCAGGTTCGAGGGAAAGTCAGCTGGCCAGTGTGGCTGCAGCATGTAGGCCAGAGAAGGGAGGCTGGAGGAGCAGGAGCATGCCAGAGGGTGCAGGGACCACAACCTGGACCACCCAGGGCAGGACAACGGCACTGTTCGGGTCTTGGGTCAGGAGGTGAAATGGCAGGGGTCAGATTGGCGCTGTCTTCTTTTGCTTATTTTGCAATGCTCGCAGAAACCTGGTCCAGGGAGGTGGTGCCCCTGAGTTCCAGCACCTCAGCCTCTCCCCCACTGAATGGCCATAGACCGAAGGTGTGGCCTCAAGAGAAGACTGGCAAGCATCTTGCTGCCACAGTCAGCCAGGCCACTCCAGTCGTTCTGTCGAAGGTATAGATGGTAAATGGGTGGCAGTGAGCTTACTTAGGGAAAAGGTATGGAATCAGGAGAGAAGGGGTCTGGAGAGAGGAGGATCAGCCAGCAGACAGTGGAGAGGCAGGAGGAGAGAGGGAGCAGCCTCCAAGCCAGAGGGAGGAATTCCCAGCAGGTGTGAGCCCCACTACTGGAAGTGCCAAGAGGTCATCTGTGACATGATGGCTAAGAAATGTCCATGCGGTTAAGCAACAGAGCGTCATGGGGACCTTAGTTGGAGAGGACGTGCTGAGTGGGCTGCAGTCAGACTGCAGTGAGAGTGCGCGTGCGCGCAGGGGGGGGGGGACAGTGGAGCGATCATCCCTGCAACAGCGACAGGGGGCGTGGCTGGGGGCGCAAGGTGAGGCCTTCCACGTGGGCATGGGCAGGAAGGGGCCACTCTCAGGCAGGACCTTCGAGAGAAGGAGTTCGGCTTCCGGGTGGGAACACTTGGATTCAATCGGGCTCCTCCTCCTGCTGGTGAGCGGTTTCGAGGCATTGGCCCCCCTAGGCCTCCGTTTCTTGGTCTGAAAAATGGAGAAAAATGGAACTCCTGCCAGAGGGTGAAGTGAAAGGGTGCAGGAGGGGCGGAGGCTGAGGCCAATCGGCTGGTAGCATTCCAGAGCCTCATGGGCGGTGGCTGCTGCCAACCTGAGCTTGCCCTTGACACACAGCTTTTTATTTACTATTCAATTCCTTACTGCAGCAAACAGTTCCTAACTCAAAGGGGACTGCTATGGGCTGGATGTGTGTGTCCCCTCCCCAAATGCGTGTGTTAAAACTCTGACCCTCCAGGTGATACTAGGAGGCCAGGCTTTGGGAGACAGGTCACAGGGTCAAGTCCCGGTGAATGGAATTAGTGCCCTTATAAAAGGGAGCCCAGAGAGCTCTCTTGGCCTCTTCCCTGCATGTGAGATACAAAAAGACTATGGTCTGCAACCGGAGGAGGGTCCTTGCCAGAACCGGACCACGCTGGCACCTAATCTCAGACTTGAGCCTCCAGAACAGTGAGAAATTAAATTCCCGTGGTTTGTAAGCTGCCCTGCCTGTGGCACTTTGCTATAGCAGCCCAAATGGACTGAGGTGGGACATTCAATTATTTCTATAACTAAAAATAAAATACAACAGAGTGCATGATGTGGTCACCAAAGGTCATGCCCTGGGAGGCTCCACAAGGGCATGACTCAGAAAAGCCCCAAATTGAAAGCCACCCTAAAGCCCATGAGAGAAGAAGGGGTCCCTTGGGGGCAGAGCCAGGATGAGTGCCTCAGCATCAAGAGAGCCCAATCCACGGCCAACACAGCAGTCAGGAAGTGCCTGTTTTCTGACTCAGTTCCTATGAAAGATAAAGCCAGATGAACTGATGAACTCAGTCTAAGTCCATCTTAAGATTGGGAGCCAAAGTCATGAAGTCATGAAAAGTGAATTTCTGTTTTGCTATAAATTACTGCGATTTCTAAACTTGTTTGGAATTCCTGCCCGAGCCTTGAACTCACCCATGCCTGGCTCCCCCTAACCAGATAACATACCCTCTCTGAAACCTCCGCAGTGCCTCATAAATTCTGATGTTGGGATCTGAATTTACTTCCTACTTTGAAATGTTAAGCCATGTAGGTCACTAACCTACTACCTGCTTTTGTATTGTGCTTGTCAAAATCTGTTGGCTGTAAGTTCTCAAGATACCCGCCCCCCCCCACTTTGCAACTTTTGTGCTATGAAACCTTGTTCCTGAGGAGGGGGGGTGGTGGTCTCTAGCCCATATTGGGAGAGACAGCCACTGATCAGCTCTCTTTGTGTACACAAATACAAGTTTGCTTTAATTTGATTTCAAATTGAAGTTAGTGGTCTTTTCTTGGGGACACCTGGGTGTCCCCAAGACTTAACCCCCAGGGACAGTCACTCTGCTGGCCCATACAGGGCTCCCACTTGCTTGAAACAGCATCTTCCTGCTGGGAAGCCGCCCTCAGCCTGTCTAAACATGTCCACCCAGAAAAGGTTAGGACCCTGGATGGCAGTGACTTCTCTTCTGAGAGCTAATTCCCTGTAGGTTTCAAGGACAATGCTAGTGCTGGCCACTGTCCTACCTGACCTCCTGCCTGGGTACCGTGAATTCTTTTTTCATCTGGTTTCTTTGCCTGAACCTTCAACAGAATGACCAGAGTGGCCTGGCTCTGATTGTGGCAGCAAGATGCTTGCCAGTCTTCTCTTGAAGCCACACCTCTGGGTTGTGACCACTCAGTGGCATTCCCTGTGATGGGGGAGAGGCTGAGACACGCTGGACTCAGGGGCACCACCTCCCTGGACCGGCTTCTGCTCTGGTGCCCACATGTCCTGCCCTAGCTCAGCTTGGGCTCCTTCCTGTTTTCCAGTTATTCCCCAGTCACTCTGCTGGGGCCCAAACTCCACATTAGGGTTAAGGTCTTCCCTGCGGCTGCTATGCCACTTGGTATTGGAAATAAAAGAGGGGACCGCTGTTAAATTGCAGATGCTGATAATTTAAAATGTGGCCTGTAAATAGACTCCACCCAGCAATTTCCTCAGGAAACGTGATTATTCCCAAATTGATCTGCCTTGTTTTCCATTCCATTCTATAACTAATATACAAGAATTCAGTTACCTTACTTAGTACATTCAATATCTTTCCTAAAATTAGAAAAAAGGAAGAAACTAAATAAACCCTCCTGCATCTTGTTCTAAAGAACCAAGACTTGCATTCATAAAATTCTCATTAAATTTGTATGACTAAAAACCTATGAAAATAATATGACACTGGGGCTAGGGCTGGGGCTGGGGCTCAGAGGCAGAGTGCTTGCCTAGCGTGTGTGAGGCACTGGGTTCGATTCTCAGCCCCACATGTAAATTAATAAAGTAAAGGCCTACTGACAACTAAATAATATTTTTTTAAAAGTGATGCTCCACACATCTTGGTGAAGCAAACACAGTGAGGTCTGCTCATGAGAAATGTAGTAAGTGAAGATTACTTACAGTAGGCCCTGAATGGCTCCCCACCCCAGCGCTCATGTAGACCCCAACCCTAGTCTCTCCAGAATTGGCGAAGGAGAGAGAAAACTGAGCGCGAGAACCCAGCAGCAAGTGTTGTTGTT